GGAAATATCTAGGAGCAACAATGGCTCAGCCACGAAGTGGTAGGCCACACAAGCTCACAGAACGGGACCACCGAGTGCTGAAGTGGGTAGCGCGTAAAAATCGTCTGTCCTCGGTTGCAACACTCACTACCGAGTTCCAAACTGCCTCTGTGCAACTGTGTTCATCGGGAGCTTCATGAAATGGGTTTCCGTGGCCGAGCAGCCGCACACAAGCCTAAGATCACCATGCGCAATGCCAAGCGTTGGCTGGAGTGGTGTAAAGCTCACCACCGTTGGACTCTGGAGCAGTGGCAACGCATTCTCTGGAGTGATGAATCACGCTTCACCATCTGGCAGTCCCAACGGACAAATCTAGGTTTGGCGGATGCCAGGAGAACGCTACCTGCCCCAATGTATAGCGCCAACCGTCAAGTTTGGTGGACGAGGAATAATGGTCTGGGGCTGTTTTTCATGGTTCGGGCTAGGCCCCTCAGTTCCAGTGAATGGAAATCTTAACGCTACAGCATACAATGACATTCTACATGATTCTGTGCTTCCAACTTTGTGGCAACAGTTTGGGGAAGGCCCTTTCCTGTTTCAGCATGACAATGCCCCTGTGCACAAAGCGAGGTCCATACAGAAATGGTTTGTTGAGATCGGTGTGGATGAACTTGACTGGCCTGCACAGAGCCCTGACCTCAACGAGCCAGTCCTAATCGCCCAACATCAGTACCCAACCTCACTAATGCTCTTGTGGCTGAATGGAAGCAAGTCCCCGCAGCAATGTTCCAACATCTAGTGGAATACCTTCCCAGAAGAATGGAGTATGTTATAGCAGGACAAACTCCATATTAATGCCCATGATTTTGGAATGAGATGTTCAACGAGCAGGTGTCCACATACATTTGGTCATGTAGTGCAGTTGGTGTGATTTATTGAGGTAATATGTACATGTTGGTAGGGGTGAAAAGCAGGAAGTCTGATTAACTATTCAGCAGTCTTATTCATGGCTTTGTGGTAGAAGCTGTTCAGGAGCATTTTGGTCCCAGACTTGGTGCTCCGGAACTTGCCGTGCGGTAGCAGAGAGACCAGACTGTGACTTGGGTGGATTCCGACAATTTTTAGGCTGTTCAATTTTTAGGGGCTTTTTTAAGGCCTTCCTCTGATACTACCTGGTATAGAGGATACATATGGTGTAATGTACATGTGGTGCAGAAGGGGACATTTTGGAATGTAAATGTAAATACTGTAACATACAGTGCATTCAGAAAGTATTCAGACCCCTTCACTTTTTCCACAATTTGTTATGTTAGAGCCTTATTCTAATATTATCATCAATCTACACACAATACCCCATAATGACAAAGCAAACATTTGTTGTTAGAGATTTTTGCAAATGTATAAAAAAAAAAAAAACGGAAATACCAAGTATTCAGAACCTTTGCTATGAGACTGTCACGCTCTGGCTCCGGGACTGTGTATTTTGAGCCAGGGTGTGTTCATTTGGTTGTGTTGTATTTGGTTGTGTTTCATTGTTTGGTCGTGTGACTCCTAATCAGTGGTAACGAGTGTCAGCTGTCGGCTCGTTATCTCTGATTGGGAGCCATATTTAAACTGTCAGTGTTCACCTTAGTGTTGTGGGTTTTTGTTCATTTCGGTTCGTGTTAAACCGTAGACGTCACGTTATCGTTTATTGTTTTGATCGTGTGATCTGTATAAATAAAGGATATGTTCACTTTCAACGCTGCGCCTTGGTCATCTCTAACCAACGATCGTGACAGAAAAACCCACCAAGATGGGACCAAGCAGCGTGTCCAGGAGCCATCGCCAGGGAGATCCATCACAGATCTCCTTCGCCTCCTGGACTGGGTCAAGCCGAGTGAGGAAGAGAAGGGCTTGACATTATGGCAGAAGGGCGAGAGGCTGGCGAGGGACATGGAGACCTGGTCCACGGGTAGGAGAGACGCCCCGAAAATTTTTAGGGGGGGGCTCACGACGTCGGACCAGCGGGAGGCCGCGATAGAGCGGCCCAGTGGGTTGCTGGAGAAGGCCGCCGGGTTACGGGGGCCACTGGTCGAAGAGGGGATGGAGGAAGTAGAGGCACGGCGAGAGGTACTGGCGTGTGTTGCCAGTCCGGTCCGGCCCGTTCCAGATCCCGGTGTAGGACCAGTGGTGTGTGTCCCCAGTACAGTCCGGCCCATCCAAGCTTCCCGCACCAAGCCAGTGGTGTGCGTCGTCAGTCCGGCACGGCCCGTGCCTGCTCTCCGCATCAAGCCTGTGGTGCGTCTCGTCAGCCCGGCTCTGCCCGTTCCTGCTCTCCGCACCAGGTCTGTGGTGCACGTCGCCAGCCCAGTCCGGCCCATTCCTGCCACTTGTACCAAGTCAAGGGTGCGAGTCGTCAGCCGGATTCAGCCCATTCCTGCTACTCGCACCAAGCCAAGGGTGCGAGTCGTCAGCCGGATTCAGCCCATTCCTGCTACTCGCACCAAGCCAAGGGTGCGAGTCGTCAGCCGGATTCAGCCCATTCCTGCTATTCGCACCAAGCCAAGGGTGCGAGTCGTCAGCCGGATTCAGCCCATTCCTGCTACTCGCACCAAGCCAAGGGTGCGAGTCGTCAGCCGGATTCAGCCCATTCCTGCTACTCGCACCAAGCCAGGGATGCGAGTCTTCAGCCTGGTGAGGCCTGTTCCGGCTCCACGCACCATGCAAAGGGTGCGTATCGTCTGCCAGGTCCGGTCCATTCCTGCCTCACGCGCCAAGCCAGGGGTGCGCGTCGGCAGTCCTGATCCAGCTAGCTGGGTCAGATCGGACTGGGGGCACTACGGGGGGATTGGAGTAGGGTGGTGTTCAAGCCCGGAGCCGGAGCCGCCTCCGAGGAGCAATACCCACCCAGCCCTTCCCTATTTGGGGTGTAGGCGCGGTCGGAGTCCGCGCCTTTAGGGGGGGGTACTGTCACGCTCTGGCTCCGGGACTGTGTATTTTGAGCCAGGGTGTGTTCATTTGGTTGTGTTGTATTTGGTTGTGTTTCATTGTTTGGTCGTGTGACTCCCAATCAGTGGTAACGAGTGTCAGCTGTCGGCTCGTTATCTCTGATTGGGAGCCATATTTAAACTGTCAGTGTTCACCTTAGTGTTGTGGGTTTTTGTTCATTTCGGTTCGTGTTAAACCGTAGACGTCACGTTATCGTTTATTGTTTTGATCGTGTGATCTGTATAAATAAAGGATATGTTCACTTTCAACGCTGCGCCTTGGTCATCTCTAACCAACGATCGTGACAGAGACTCGAAATGGAGCATCCTGTTTATATTGATCATCCTTGAGATGTTTCTACAACTTGATTGGAGTCCACCTGTGGTAAATTCAATTGATTGGACATGATTTGGAAAGGTACACACCTGTCTATATACGGTCCCACAGTTGATAGTGCATATCAGAGCAAAAACCAAGCCATGAGGTCGAAGGAATTGTCCGTAGAGCTCAGAGACAGGATTGTGTCGAGGCACAGATTTGGGGAAGGGTACCAAAAAATGTCTGCAGTGTTGAAGGTCCCCAAGAACACTGTGGCCTCCATCATTCTTAAATGGAAGAAGTTCGGAACCACCAAGACCGCCCGGCCAAACTGTGCAATCGGGGGAGAAGTGACCAAGGACCCGATGGTCACTCTGGCAGAGCTCCAGAGTTCCACTGTGGAGATGGGAGAACCTTCCAGAAGGAGAACCATCTCTGTAGCACTCCACCAATCAGGCCTTTATGGTAGATTGGCCAGACAGAGGCCACTCCTCAGTAAAAGGCACATGACAGCCTGCTTGGAGTTTGCCAAAAGGCACCTAAAGACTCTCAGACCATGAGAAACAAGATTCTCTGGTCTGATGAAACCATGATTGAACTCTTTGGCCTGAATGCCAAAAGTCACTTCTGGAAGAAACCTGGCACCATCCCTACGGTGAAGCATGATGGTGGCAGCATCATGCTGTGGGGATGTTTTAACAGCGGCAGGGACTGGGAGACCAGTCAGGATCCAGGCAAAGATGAACAGAGCAAAGTAAAAACCTGCTCCAGAGCAGAAATGTTTTAATTAAAATCTGCTCAGGACCTCAGACTGGGGCAAAGGTTCACCTTCCAACAGTACAACGACCCTAAGCGCACAGCCAAGACAACGCAGAAGTGGCTTCGGTACAAGTCTCTGAATGTCCTTGAGTGGCCCAGCCAGAGCCCGGACTTGAAACCGATTGAGCATCTCTGGAGAGACCAGAAAATAGCTGTGCAGCCAAACTCCCCATCCAACCTGACAGAGCTTGAGAGGATCTGCAGAGAAGAATGGGAGAAACTCCCCAAATACAGGTGTGTCAAGCTTGTAGTGTCATACCCAAGAAGACTCGAGGCTGTAATCGCTGCCAAAGGTGCTTCAACAAAGTACTGAGTTAAGGGTCTGAATACTTGTGTAAATGTGATATTTCCGTTTTTTTATTTGTTATAAATTAGCAACATTTTCAAATAAAACCTGTTTTTGCATTGTCATTATGGGGTATTGTGTGTAGATTGATAAGGGAAAAAAACTATTCCATCCATTTTAGAATAAGGCTGTAACATAACAAAATGTGGAAAAAGTGAAGGGGTCTGAATACTTTCCAAATGCACTGTATATTCCTACTGTAATAGTGTTATCTAAAATAATGATAGACTTATATGCTATTTTTGTTGTTTAGGCATATTTTGCATGTATTCATTCAGTATTCACTTGTTTTTAAATGCTTTTCATTCTGAAGACCACATAGAAACAGTCTGTATGCAAAGTGCATACATTTTGTTCATATGGAACTCTGTTCTTTGGATAAATCTTTCACTAGGGATATTCACATTTTTTCTATCTAAAGTAAGTTATTATGCCAGGTGTGGAATAAAACTAAAGCAAGAGTCGCCCACTCTCCCCATACTCCTCCCACCCCAATACTTCCAGTGTGTCTTTGATCCCAGGTTTTGGAAAAAGGCAGCTGCCTGTCGACTGGTCCCTCCTACCACGCAGAACAAATGCTATATTCATCTCTTAGTCTGTGTTCCAGCTTGCAGCCTGTAAAACTCCCTCTAGGAACTTCCCTGGGTACTTTTTCCCCACTGCTTGAGCCACTGAATGTCATTCATGCCACGGAGCGAAAACGGGCGAAGTGGTGGCTGGTCCGTTCACCCGACAATGTGGAGAATATGCAGTATTTTTTGCGCATGGGGTGTCCTGTCTTTGACAGAGGTCTGCGCGCAGTCTCTATTGGGGTCACAACGGAGGTAGGTTACCTTTTCCCTTCACTTTAATCTAACAATCTATATTTTTTGGGGCTCTGAGTTAGGCTTTTGTTCAGGAAAAACAACTGTGTAGCACTAGCCTATTGTACAAAGGCTTAACACGAGGTGTCAAGGATACGTTAGTCTACAGCACAATGATGAAGGAACCGCATCAATCATCATCATCATCATCTTCATCATCATCATCACCGGGGAGTTATTATTTTGGAGGAATCTGCAGTGTGCATTGTATACATGAGGACGCACACATGCGTATTGCCGAGACACCCCCATAATGAACACCAACAATTCCTTTACGCCTAGGCTTCTTCTCCTTTCAAAGATTCCTTGATAGCCATTTGTATTAGAATTAGAAGTGTCACAAATATTTTTCTCATGTTTCCAGACCAACGTTTACATGCGGAGGCAATATAACGGGGGATACTGGGGTCGTTGGGAGCCCAGGGTATCCAGGGGTGTACCCCCCAAATACAAAATGTGTTTGGAGAATCACGGTGAGACAACCATACTTGTAGCCTACTGTAAATACATGATCCATGTTTAACAGTTATCAGTTTAGTATGTTCCTGATTAGCTACTGTAGGCTATTACTTTACCAGCGCCATGTCAGACAGAATGAGAAGCAATATCAGTGAACTAAAGATGATGCAATGTTTCTGTAATACACTTCAATGGTATACTAATCCACCAATCCTAACTGTGTAATTGGTAGTCTGGTATTTGGCTAGTGGCCACAGCAGCTCTCGGGCATTTTGAGCTGCCTGCTTGGTATTTTTAACATGCAGTCTGGTCACATGGCTGAAATGAATACATGGTAAGTCAAGGAAATAATCACCAACAGCAAAGTCCTGTAATTAAAGAATAACTGTAAGTTTATTACTTGTTAATAACATGTGTATCCTTGGTAGATTTAGACTTGGAGTGCTTTGACTGTTGATTTCAGATTGGTGATGTTAAAAGAGGGGAAGTTTCATATAGGTTCATTCATTGCATGTCAGAGGAAGATTTGTTTCCTCTTATATTTGAGTTGTCAGATATGCCCCTTATGTGATTGTGTGGATTGTACCGTGTACTGTATATGATTGTATGTTGTCCTCAGGTCCCTGAGGGTAAAGTGGTGGTCCTGTCCTTCCGTTTCATTGACCTGGAGAGTGACAACCTGTGTCGCTATGACTACGTGGATGTTTACAGCGGCCATGTGAGAGGCCAAAGGCTGGGCCGCTTCTGTGGGACGTTCAGGCCAGGCGCCCTGGTCTCCACCGGCAACAAGATGCTCATTCAGATGGTGTCTGATGCCAACACGGCTGGGAGCGGCTTCCTGGCGGTGTACTCGGCTGCCGAGCCACACGAGAGAGGTAAGCAGAATATAATATAGACAAAGAATAGAAGAATACTATAGTAGTTTTTAAGGGTAACGTGCCTTGCTCAAGCAATAGATTTTCTCCTTTTGGACTTGAGATTCTAACCGGTGACCCGCCGGTTGCAGGCCCGCCTCTCTAATATCTAGGCTACCTCCCGGGCCATGAACCACTGTGTGGGTGGAAGAGGGTTGTGTCATCTCTGAGTTGTTGTAACCCTAGGTGTAGTGTGTAGGGAACACTGTAGTCATCTGTATCCGGCCTCTACCCAAACATGTTCAGCAGAGCCTTGGGTGCTGTGCCCTAGCCGTGACTCTTCTCTGACACATCGTGCCACATCGTAAAGACATCAGATATCAGTGTGTGTGTGTGTGTGTGTGTGTGTGTGTGTGTGTGTGTGTGTGTTTAGGGCCAAAGGTCACATTTTAACAAGCGAATTAACAAGCCTCTTAACCGCTAGCTGCCCCAGAAAGGTCATTTTACCATGTCACCAGTAATGATGCTAATACCCAGACGGAGAGATCTGACAGGGGAATTATTTACGTCTGAGAGTAAAAGGCAGTTGTAGCTTGATAAATCCCTTCCAATGGATAGCAGGTCATACAACAGCAATGAGTGGATGGAACAGTTGGACTTATGCTTGGTAAGATAAAGTTCAGACTTCCTACGTAGTTAAGACGAGACCTATTGACTTAAAGCTTGCTCGAGGAGGAGGTGAATGAAAAACAGGAACATCTCTACACATTTCACAGTATGACGTCACAGCTTTTGTTTCCGGACGGAGTGCTCTAGAGACAGACAGGTCAGTGCTAAGCCGTCCCTTCCTCTTCTCACCCGGTAACGTGACGTCTCCCTGAACGAGTTTGTGGAATTGTAATGGTTGGTTGCCTCCCTGTATATCTCTATCTCTGTACCTCTACAGATGGGCTCCCGAGTGGCGCAGCGGTCTAAGGCACTGCATTTCAGCGGTCTAAGGCACTGCATCTCAGCGGTCTAAGGCACTGCATCTCAGTGGTCTAAGGCACTGCATCTCAGCGGCCTAAGGCACTGCATCTCAGTGGTCTAAGGCACTGCATCTCAGCGGTCTAAGGCACTGCATCTCAGCGGTCTAAGGCACTGCATCTCAGCGGTCTAAGGCACTGCATCTCAGCGGTCTAAAGGCACTGCATCTCAGCGGTCTAAGGCACTGCATCTCCAGTGCTAGAGGCGTCACTACAAACCCTGGCTCAATTCCAGGCTGTATCACAATCCGGCCGTGATTGGGAGTCCCATAGGGCGAAGCGTCGTCCGGGTTTGGCCGGTGTAGGCCGTCATTGTAAATAAGAATGAGTTAAATGATAAATAAATACAGTAGCGGACAGCTGAAATGCCTCTGGGTCAGTTTAGATAGACTGGTGTTCTTCACACACCTGGTGCTGGAGCAGATAGACTGTGGTTGCTCTGTCTGTCTCCCCGTTCCTGGGAGTGGTTGAAACGGAAAAGCACCCTCTCCCATTGGTTCAATGTCTATTTTAGTTACTCAGACAAATTGCACTCGCCATCTGCCAGCCATGAGGATGGGAGCTCCGCTGTAGTGGAAACACTGTTAGTCACTAAACTGCATGTTATAGGAGATCCAACCGTGGTTTTTAAAGATCCACAGATCACTTGCCAGTCCAAGCAGCTTGTGTGGTTCGCTGACGGGATCTCTCTCAGATGTGCGGTGGCATGCCTAGCATGTGGACTCCCTTTTAACAGCAAATTCCAGCAGACGGACCAAGGCAGAGAGGCAGACAACGGTCTTCTTTAGTAACTCATAATCACAAAGGAAGCATGAGATGAGAGTTTCCCTACTGATTAGAACATTCTAGAAGGTCTCATTATAGAATTGTGTCATGCACGTGCACAACATTCCGTCCATTGACCTTAAAGAGTAAGAGATATCTTGCACATAAACGAACAGTCGCAGGAGGCTATCCAGCAGTGCTTTAAAGTAATAGTATGTGAAGCAGTACTGTCTGCCAGGGACTATAACTAAACATTGTGGTTTGAATTTGCACCCACCAGGGGACCAGTACTGTGGAGGTCGTCTGGATAAACCCTTCGGGTCGATTAAGACCCCTAACTGGCCCGAGAAGGACTACCCCGCTGGGGTCACCTGCTCATGGCACATAGTGGCTCCTAAGAACCAGGTGAGTGTTACAGCCAGATGCCTCAGCAGTAGTTAATTTGGGATCCTAATAAATACTACGACTACTCACACTTCAACTTGACGCATGACACCATTGAGAGTGATTGAGATGGTTTGAGATTTTCACATCATTGCTTTGTGGTTTGCTCTTGTTTAATGGTTACATAGAACAGGTTACATAGGACACATTACTTTCAGCCCACATTCTAAAGGTGCCTGTGTTCTATGTAACCTGTGTCCTATGTAACCTGTGTCCTATTGAACCTGTGTTCTATGTAACCTGTGTTCTATATAACCTGTGTCCTATGTAACCTGTGTTCTATGTAACCTGTGTCCTATGTAACCTGTGTCCTATGTAACCTGTGTTCTATGTAACCTGTGTCCTATGTAACCTGTGTTCTATGTAACCTGTGTTCTATGTAACCCGTGTTCTATGTAACCTGTGTTCTATGTAACCTGTGTCCTATGTAACCTGTGTTCTATGTAACCTGTGTCCTATGTAACCTGTGTTCTATGTAACCTGTGTTCTATGTAACCTGTGTTCTATGTAACCTGTGTTCTATGTAACCTGTGTTCTATGTAACCTGTGTCCTATGTAACCTGTGTTCTATGTAACCTGTGTTCTATGTAACCTGTGTTGTATGTGACCCGTGTTCTATGTAACCCGTGTTCTATGTAACCTGTGTTCTATGTAACCTGTGTCCTATGTAACCTGTGTTCTATGTAACCTGTGTCCTATGTAACCTGTGTTCTATGTAACCTGTGTTCTATGTAACCTGTGTTCTATGTAACCTGTGTTCTATGTAACCTGTGTTCTATGTAACCTGTGTCCTATGTAACCTGTGTTCTATGTAACCTGTGTTCTATGTAACCTGTGTTGTATGTGACCCGTGTTCTATGTAACCCGTGTTCTATGTAACCTGTGTTCCATGTAACCTGTGTTCTATGTAACCTGTGTTCTATGTAACCCGTGTTCTATGTAACCCGTGTTCTATGTAACCCGTGTTCTATGTAACCTGTGTTGTATGTGACCTTTCCACTAACACAGATCATTGAGGTGAAGTTTGAGAAGTTTGATGTGGAAAGAGACAACTACTGTCGATACGACTACGTGGCCTTTTTCAACGGGGCAGAGATCAACGACGCGAAGAGGATCGGGAAGTACTGTGGAGATAGCCCTCCAGCGTATGTCACACACCTTTTTCTACTATGCATTTATCTTGCTAATGTAGCTACCGCTTATGACATTGACCTTGATTATCAAATCAAATCAAATGTTATTTATCACATGTGCAACAGGTGTAGACTTGACTGTGAAATGCTTACCTACGAGCCCACTCCCAGTTAAAAAGTAAGGAAAATTACCCAAAAATAAAAAAGGAAATAGTAACACAATAAAAACAATAATGAGGCTGTATACAAGGAGTACCGGTACTGAGTCAATGTGCAGAAGTACGAGCTAGTTGAGGTAATTCAGGTAACATGTACATGTAGGTATGTAGGGGTACGAGTGACTAGGCAACAGGATAGATAATAAAGAGGACAGATAATAAACCTACTAATGCCTGATTTACCCTCTCTCTCTCTCTCTCTCTCTCTCTCTCTCTCTCTCTCTCTCTCTCTCTCTCTCTCTCTCTCTCTCTCCTCTCTCTCTCTCTGTCTCTGTCTCTCTCTCTCTCTCTCTCTCTCTCTCTCTCTGTCTCTCTGTCTCTCTCTCTCTCTCTCTCTCTCTGTCTCTCTGTCTCCCTCTCTCTCTCTCTCCACCCTCTCTCTCTCTCTCTTGTCTCTCTCTCTCTCTCTGTCTCTCTGTCTCTCTGTCTCCCTCTCTCTCTCTCACTCTCTGTCTCTCTCTCTCTCCACCCTCTCTCTCTCTCTCTCTCTCTCTCTCTCTCTCTCTCTCTCTCTCTCTCTCTCCTCTCTCTCTCTCTCTCTCTCTCTCTCTCTCTCTCTCTCTCTCTCTCTCTCTCTCTCTCTCTCTCTCTCTCTCTCTCTCTCTCTCTCTCTCTCTCTCTCTCTCTCTCTCTCTCTCCAGTCCAGTATTCTCTGAAGGTAACCAGCTCCTGATCCAGTTCCTGTCAGACCTCAGTTTGACAGCAGATGGGTTCATCGGCCACTACGAGTTCAGACCTAAGAAGTTCCCCACCACCCCGGTACCACCGACCACCACCACCCCGGTACCACTGACCAGACCCATACGTAGGTAGATCTTTTTTTTCTCTGTTTAATCCAAGCAGGAGATATATTTCCCCTTGTCCATCACATCACAGTCTTGTTGTTATAATGTAAAATGTTTTTAGCACTCCATAAATCCAATTCAGAATCATCATCATCTTCATCATCATCAACATAATCTTCATCATCATAATAATTGTAAGCACCTTCATCATCATGTCCAGCGCCAACTGCTTCTAGTTGTGGGTTCAGAGACAGATTGGATCGTCTGGTCCCAGTGATCTTTGATGCTGATGCCAACATGTGGTGTACCTGCTGGAGCTCCTTCCCACCAGGAGAGGGGCTTCCAGGCATCTGCTTCCTGTGGGCCTGTGGTATTAGCCTGGTCCCAGATCAGATATATACTGTGGGTAGTGGCTATTGCCCAGGATGAAAGGCAATGGAGCAAATCTGTGATTTGTCAATTAGGACAGAGCTAAGGGGAAGGGGACAGGTACACACCCCAAAGAGACACACTGTTCCTGCTTACTGTCAGACAAACTAGAGAGCATGTTTTGGATGTCCTGGAGCCCTACTGCTAAATCATGTTGACTGTACAGAACAAACCTCCAAAAGGCACACATGCATGGTTGGTTATGGACACCCACTCTCTCTGGCATGGCACACATATACCAGTAAGCAAGCACACACACACACACACACACACACACACACACACACACACACACACACACAAGGTTCTGATGAAGGTGATTCATGCCGAAATTTAGGCCTATTGGTTGTTTCTTCCAGATTTACCCGGCAACAGAGTGCTCCTTTTTCTTTATTCTCCTGGATGGTCACCAGTTGAGGTATCCTGGGGTAAGGAATGATAGTCACCAGTTGAAGTATCCTGGGGTAAGGAATGATAGTCACCAGTTGAGGTATCCTGGGGTAAGGAATGATAGTCACCGGTTGAAGTATCCTGGGGTAAGAAATGATAGTCACCATTTGAAGTATCCTGGGGTAAGGAATGATAGTCACCGGTTGAAGTATCCTGGGGTAAGGAATGATAGTCACCAGTTGAAGTATCCTGGGGTAAGGAATGATAGTCACCATTTGAAGTATCCTGGGGTAAGGAATGATAGTCACCAGTTGAGGTATCCTGGGGTAAGGAATGATAGTCACCAGTTGAAGTATCCTGGGGTAAGGTAGGATAGTCACCAGTTGAAGTATCCTGGGGTAAGGAATGATAGTCACCATTTGAAATATCCTGGGGTAAGGAATGATAGTCACCGGTTGAAGTATCCTGGGGTAAGGAATGATAGTCACCATTTGAAGTATCCTGGGGTAAGGAATGGTAGTCACCGGTTGAAGTATCCTGGGGTAAGGAATGATAGTCACCAGTTGAAGTATCCTGGGGTAAGGAATGATAGTCACCAGTTGAAGTATCCTGGGGTAAGGAATGATAGTCACCAGTTGAAGTATCCTGGGGTAAGGAATGATAGTCACCAGTTGAAGTATCCTGGGGTAAGGAATGATAGTCACCAGTTGAATTATCCTGGGGTAAGGAATGATAGTCACCAGTTGAAGTATCCTGGGGTAAGGAATGATAGTCACCAGTTGAAGTATCCTGGGGTAAGGAATGATAGTCACCTGTTGAAGTATCCTGGGGTAAGGTAGGATAGTCACCAGTTGAAGTATCCTGGGGTAAGGAATGATAGTCACCGGTTGAGGTATCCTGGGGTAAGGAATGATAGTCACCAGTTGAAGTATCCTGGGGTAAGGAATGATAGTCACCAGTTGAAGTATCCTGGGGTAAGGTAGGATAGTCACCAGTTGAAGTATCCTGGGGTAAGGAATGATAGTCACCAGTTGAAGTATCCTGGGGTAAGGAATGATAGTCACCAGTTGAAGTATCCTGGGGTAAGGAATGATAGTCACCAGTTGAAGTATCCTGGGGTAAGGAATGATAGTCACCAGTTGAAGTATCCTGGGGTAAGGTAGGATAGTCACCAGTTGAAGTATCCTGGGGTAAGGTAGGATAGTCACCAGTTGAAGTATCCTGGGGTAAGGAATGTTTTTTAGGCACACACACAACACTTTATTGTTTTTCCTTCACTGAGGCCAGTACTCACAATACCAAATCCCTAGTCAGACGGTTACCTTGGCAGCCCCCCACCATGATGTCATCTGGACCCTCAGATTGTCTTATCTTTCATACGTTTTGTTCTCCACCAGTATAAATAACATTTGGACAGTGGTTGGACAGTATTTTTCTAGTCTCAGCTTTTCCCTATACCGCTCCCATAGTGGCTTTGATAGTAAAAACAGATGGTAGCCAGCAGTAACATATACCTTGAGCATGAACAACAGTACATCATTATTTTATTGTTTTATTTGTATTATTATTTATATTTTTAGCGCCTTGGGTGTGAGAAAAGTGCTTTACAAATTAAATGTATTATTATTTTTATTATTATTATTATGTGAACCGTTATGTAGGATTCAGTGGCGGTCGGTGCCGTTTAAGATGAGGGAGGATTATTTAATTTTTTATGAACATTGCCTTACAGCATATTGGATGACTGTTATTCATATTCCATTCACCCAGCTCAATGTAACATTGATAGGTTTAGGCTATTCACCCAGCTCAATGTAACATTGATAGGTTTAGGCTATTACATGATACTCACATTGTCCCTGTACCCATCATGAGGTTGCTACAACCTAGCCTATGAATGAAAGTTTACAACGTAAGTGCACAGGTCGAGAGAATTTTGAGTAATCAAGGTGACAGACAGTGACACATTCAATACTTGCCTGCATCTAACTGATCTAGGGTGTAATCATTAGTCCAACAGTTGCAAACGAGAGTTTCTATTGGACAAATTCAGGTATGTTTATCCCCGTTTCGTTCCGTTTAAGAAACGTTTTTCAACAGAATCGGCGCAATGAATCTGATCACACGCAAACACAGTTCACTTTCATAGCAGCCACATACAAACAGCTGGTTGTATATATCATTCCTTCTCGTATATACAGTATCTACGCACTCTCCTCCTCTCACCTTTTCCCTTCGCTTGTGGACTTCAGTGCACAACACATCAGCTGTCTGTAACCAGGCAAAAAAACCTTTCCAAGACAAACCTTCATGTCATGACCGCTAACCGCTACACACAGCCTACATCGTTGTCACGTTTTGTATTGAAGTCAATGTACCCAGAGGACGATGGAAGCTAGCTGTCCTCCGGCTACACCATGGCGCTACCCTACAGAGTGCTGTTGAGGCTACTGTATACCTTCATTGCAAAATAGTGTGTTTTAATGAATTATTTGGTGACGTGAATATATTTAGTATAGTTTTATCTAAAAAGGTTAACTTTTGTAATGTTTCACTATTTTTATGAAATTCACTGAGGAGGATGGTCCTCCCCTTCCTCCTCTGAGGAGCCTCCACTGGTAGGATTCTAAGTTACCTACAGTTTTCAATGGGACGTGTTCATACTAATGAATTAGCTCTACGATTGATTTCAATGCATTCCCTGAAATTGACTCGAGGTTAAATAAAAAATCAACACAAATCCAACTTGCTAGCATCAGCTGAATGTGGAATAATGTGAATGAAGGGACTGTGTTCTCTTTCTCTCTGTGTGTCCCCAGCCCTGAAGTACTCTGTAGGTCTGTGCCAGCAGAAATGCAAAAGAAGTGGAACCATTGAGAGCAACTATTGTACCAGTGACTTCGGTAAGAGATGCTATTCTCCTACAGCTATTGCTACATCTATTACTATGGCTGCCAGTACTACCATCACGGATACTTAGCTACAGGAACAAACAACAACAGGTCAACAGTGTGTACCTTGGGTGTGTGTGTGTGTGTGTTTGTCAGTCAGGGAAAATCCTCCCAACATTTACCCCAGCATCAACCCCAGTCCATATGAGCCATCCCTCACACAACAAGCCCATGTCGTCATTGTCCCCTCCATCATGACACACTATCCTTGGCCTTCTGGGTTGTTTCAGCGCGTCACAAAAGCTTCCTTGAGGGTTTTCTGAGAGATCAGCCCAGTATATTTGTGTGGGACAGACACAGTTCTCTTCTCACAGAGTAAACAGAGCCTGACTGAAGGAAAACTGTTGATTCAGCCAACATACTCCATGGCCTCAGTTTGCTGCCCAGTACTTTACACTACCTCTATGCGTTTTTTTTCTCTGAGCAGATGTTGATGGAATGAGACAGGTATTTTATTTATTGCTTTTTCTCAGGGAGGTTAGGTCAGATTTGCATGGAAAAGGGGTCTGGCTCACTGGCTGTCAGTGAAACCCAGTAATGTGGTGCTGGTGGAAAATGTTATTGTATAATACAGTGGCAGACAGTCTGCAGTCATATCAAGCCAAGAGTGTTACGTCACATGTTTTAAAGACTGGTCTAGACACAGAAGGACCTAACAGATGACTCAACTGACCCGTCAATTCCTTCCTGTTTACACATTGGTTTTCATTATGTCGTATTCAATCAGTACATTTTGATGAAGGCCTCCATGGCTGAAATGCTCCAGCATCAGAGTATTTGTATCGAAAGATATTCAGTCTTGATCCTACGCCATGTGTGTCTATGCCCCGTGTAGCTCAGTTGGTAGAGCGTGGCGCTTGCAACATTCACATTTACATTTAAGTCATTTAGAAGACGCTCTTATCCAGAGCGACTTACAAATTGGTGCATTCAACTTAGGATAGCCAGTGGGACAACCACATCTTTGATCACAGTGAGTACACTTCTTCAAACAAGCAGCTGTGAGCAAAGTCAGTGCAATCAGGGACAACTACATCTCGATCACAACGCCAGGGTTGTGGGTTTGATTCCCACAGGGGGGCCAGAATGAAAATAAAATGTATGCACTCACTAACTGTAAAGTCGCTCTGGATAAGATAAAATAAAAAAAATAAAAAAATAAGGCACATACAGAGCCGACCGACGAATTTTTCGAAGTTTCCCATGATGATGAAAGTTTTCAGATATAAACCAAGGGATTTGGTTGAGTGCTCTTTTTGTTCAGCACACCAATCCCAGCTCTTAAACCCCCCTGGGTCTGTGACAGTGATAACGGGAAAACCGTCTCACGGCGGGGTTGGGGCGAGGAGGAGCAGACGCCCCCATCTCCATCATACACGTCTACAAAGAAAGCAACCGGGGATCCCGCGGCGGGCAAGACCAAAGAGCACCCCAAAATCATCACCTGCAGAAGGGAAAAGAGAGGGAAGTTAATCGCCCTAGAAGGTAGGGGTATGTGCGGTTTTGCGGGTTTTATAGGTTATTTGGGGGGAAAAAAGGGCCAAGCTTGGTAAAAAGAAGGAGGGGGACTTGGGGCTTTCCCCTTGGTTAGGGGTTTGTTTGGCTTGTTAATTTTCGAAACCCCTTTTTATTTTTTTATTTTTTTTTTTAAAAGGCAAGTTCTTAAGAAAAAATTTTTTAAAGCCCAAGGCCCCCAAAACAGGGGACCTGGGCCAATTGTGCCGCCGCCCTATGGGATAATCCGGCGGTTTGTTTTAAGCAACAACCAGGGGGCTGTAGGGGACGCCCAAGCACTGAGAGCAGTTGCCCTAGACCGCTGAGATCAGTGCCCCAGAAAGTGAGAGCAGTGCCTTAGACCGCTGAGAGAGTGCCTTTGACCCCTAAAAAAGGGGGCAGGCCTTAGACCACGAGATGCAGTGCCTTAGACCCCCTGGGGGAGCAGTGCTTAGGGGCCGCTGAATGCAGTGCCCCCTTTGACCCCCTGAGATGCAGTGCCTTGGACCCTGGCCACGGGAAAATCCATGAAGAATTTACCATGATGTGCACGATAGCACCGGTATTGTCCGGATAGACATTTACCATGTAGCACGATAGCACCAGGTATTAGTCCGTGATAGAATTCACCATGATGGCACGATAGACCGGTTTTGTCCGTGAAGCATTACCCTGAGTGCACGATTAGCACCAGGTATTAGTCCATGATAGACATTCACCATGATATGCACGATAGCACCAGGTATTAGTCCGTGATAGACATTCACCATGATATGCACGATAGCACCAGGTATTAGTCCGTGATAGACATTCACCATGATATGCACGATAGCACCAGGTATTAGTCCGTGATAGACATTCACCATGATGTGCACGATAGCACCAGGTATTAGTCCATGATAGACATTCACCATGATATGCACGATAGCACCAGGTATTAGTCCGTGATAGACATTCACCATGATGTGCATTAGTGATGAGCAGGTCAGCTGTTTGTTCACCTGCACCCACCCGCAATTGCTAATAACCCATCCACAACCGCCCGACTATATGTGATAAAGTGAAAATCTGAGACCCACGCCCGACCCTAACCCGCTAATATAAAAAATGCGCTGAAGGCTACAGTCAGAGATGGCAGATTTTTTGGGGGGACAGTGTGTGTAGGATTTTTGTTGCCTCATTTAGATGTTTCTGCTTATAATTTCCAAAATTTGGGAAGGCTATTTATGTCACGATCGTCTTGAGAAGTGGACCAATGCGCAGCGTGGAATGTGAACATACTTTATTTTAGATTCACCACACGAACAAAACAACAAACGATACGAAACGTGAAGTCCTTGGTCACAATACAAACCATACGGAACAAGATCCCACAACACACTGTGGAAAACAGGCTGCCTAAGTATGGTTCCCAATCAGAGACAACAAGCAACAGCTGATACACGTTGCCTCTGATGAGAACCACACCGGCCAACATAGAAACAAATGAACTAGAAAATCACCCTAGCACACAAAACACATAGAAACAACACACCCTGGCTCAACATAACAGAGTCCCAGAGCCAGGGCTGACAATTTATTAGTCAACTTGTTTATATGTAGATACATTGCACCTCTTTTCTGTCATTATATGTTGCCCCAGAAGACTAAATAAACCAGAATAACGTCACAAATCGATAGAATGAGTGCTTCAATCTAGTTGACATCGGTAAAGTTTTTCTGTCTCTGCTTCTTTCACGGAGCAAAGACGTTTGGGGACCGGGGAGAAAATGCTATAACTCAACAACAACAAAAATGGGAAAGATTTTCTGTGCAAAATGTTCAAATGACTCAAGTTTGACCGGTTGTAAGGAAATAGAAAGCTGTGAAAACGACCCAACGTGTTTCTGATAAGATTTCAGTTCGGCTTGGATGCATATTTTATGTGACTGAAATACTATCAGCTTTTATGATGCTGATAAAGATAGCACCTCTACAGATGGTATCTAACTGCACATTCACATTATATCAAGATGCTGAAAGAAACAAATCATATTTCTCCACTCCTGTTCCCGGGTCAAAATGTTGCCTACATTTGGTGGATAATTTTACTGCAAGAAATGCTTAACTAGTTAACATTAAGGCTATGTGAGAGGTTATAGACATTTTGCTACGGCTGGCCATGCTTTCCACCTGGCTACCCCTACCCCGGACACCAGCTCTGCACCCTCCGCTGCAACTTGCCCATGCCCCCCCCGCTTCTCCTTCACCCAAATTCAGATAGCTGATGTTCTGAAAGAGCTGCAAAATCTGGACCCCTACAAATCAGCTGGTCTAGACAATCTGGACCCTTTCTTTCTAAAATTAGCAGCCGAAATTGTAGCAACCCCTATTACCAGCCTGTTCTCTTTTGTATCACCTGAGATCCCCAGAGATTGGAAAGCTGCCGCGGTCATCCCCCTCTTCAAAGGGGGTGACACTCTAGATCCAAACTGTTACAGACCTATATCCATCCTGCCCTGCCTTTCGAAAGTATTTTAAAGCTAAGTTAACAAACAGATCACCGACCATTTCGAATCCCACCGTACCTTCTCCGCTATGCAATCTGGTATCCGAGCTGGTCATGGGTGCACCTCAGCCACGCTCAAGGTCCTAAACGATATTATAACCGCAATCGATAAAAGACAGTACTGTGCAGCCGTCTTCATCGACCTGGCCAAGGCTTTCGACTCTGTCAATCACCGCATTCTTATTGGCAGAATAAATAGCCTTGGTTTCTCAAACGACTGCCTCGCCTGGTTCACCAACTACTTCTCAGATAGAGTTCAATGTGTCAAATCGGAGGGCCTGTTGTCTGGACCTCTGGCAGTCTCTATGGGGGTACCACAGGGTTCAATTCTCGGGCCGACTCTATTCTCTGTGTATATCAATGATGTCGCTCTTCAATCGAACGCTGCTTGCACCCGCCCTCCCGACTAGAATCACTACTCTCAGGAGGTCTGACTTAGAATTTGTGGACAACTACAAATACCTAGGTGTCTGGTTAGACCGTAAACTCTCCTTCCAGACTCACATTAAGCATCTCCAATCCAAAGTTAAATCTAGAATCGGCTTCCTATTTCGCAACAAAGCCTCCTTCACTCATGCTGCCAAACATGCCCTCGTAAAACTGACTATCCTACCGATCCTTGACTTCGGCGATGTCATTTACAAAATAGCCTCCAACACTCTACACAGCAAATTGGATGTAGTCTATAACAGTGCCATCCGTTTAGTCATCAAAGCCCCATATACTACCCACCATTCTGACCTGTACGCTCTTGTTGGCTGGCCCTCACTACATATTCGTCGCCATTCCTTCCAGTTCTCTGCTGCTAATGACTGGAACGAACTGCAAAAATCTCTGAAGCTGGAGACTCTTATCTCCCTCACTAACTTTAAGCATCAGTTGTCAGAGCAGCTTACCGATCACTGCACCTGTACACAGCCATTCTGAAATTAGCCCACCCAACTACCTCATCCCCATATTGTTATTTATTTTGAAATAGATCTACCGTCAGTGTCCAGATTTCAGTTTCCATTCAACCCATCTAAACGGTAGGCTACAGTTCCCTTGACGTGCCATAGGCCTATTTGAAGTCCCCGGGCTTGTGACTGTCGAATTTGTATAGCGCCTCACAAATCACCACACATAACATAGCCTGCACTGCTGTCATCCTCTTTCTTTATGTTCAACTCTCCATTTCGCAGCCTTTCTCTTATTGAATTCAACTCAGACATTTTCCTTTTTGCCTCCGTGGATCGGTTCACTTTTTCTGCCTGTTCTCAAAAGCATTTGGTGATTGTAGTCTATTTGGCACGTGTCCAGTTAGGTCCTAAAGCTCAGGCTTACACGCTAATGCCAGATAGGCTAAAATAATGATAGAGAAACCTCAATGTAGCCTAGAGATATAAATTGCACAAGGATGTTTACATTTATGGATTTTTTAAAGCTATTTTCTTTTATTTTCAAATCAAATCAAATCAAATCAAATTTGATTGGCCACATGCGCCGAATACAACAGGTGCAGACATTACAGTGAAATGCTTACTTACAGCCCTTAACCAACAGTGCATTTATTTTTAACAAAAAAAGTAAAAATAAAACAACAACAAAAAAAGTGTTGAGAAAAAAAGAGCAGAAGTAAAATAAAATAACAGTAGGGAGGCTATATATACAGGGGGGGGGGGGGGGTACCGGTGCAGAGTTCATTCTCATGATAGCACCAGGCATTAGTCCACGATTGCACCATCGAAACCAATTCTATAACTGAGTAATACTGACACAGTTTCACGCGACAGAAGTGTGGCACTGAGTGTAGTCCTCTGTAGCTCAGCTGGTAGAGCACGGCGCTTGTAACGCGAAGGTAGTGGGTTCGATCCCCGGGACCACCCATACACAAAAAATGTATGCACGCATGACTGTAAGTCGCTTTGGATAAAAGCGTCTGCTAAATGGCATATTATTATTAAAAGACAGCAATAATTATATTATTATTATTATTATTATTATAAAAATGCATGTGACAGAGGCGTGTCCCCAATATACAAGATACTTAAGAAAGCTAGAACCAAGTTGCAGGTGTTTCCACAGACTATCTTATATAAGGCTCTGAGTTGGCCTCCATCGCTGTTTTCCACCTTCAAGCTCATCTGAAGGAGCTCGACCAAGGTCTGAGGTAAGCGGCAAAAACTCACTGTCGAAAAGATCTATACCTTCCCTCAGCCACTGATCCACACCGTGAATATATGCAAACAAACTCGGTACAGTATGTGTTTATATCTGTGCGTATAAACACACTGTATACGGAACCCAAGAGGAGCGTAGACGCTGATGTGCTACCTTCCTCAATGTCTCTGCCGTTCCGCCACTGCATTCAGGCTCTTTCCGTGTGATCTCACTAGGCCTCCACTACATCTTCATGGGCTCAGTGGACGACGATGGGAAGGGGAAGATCGCCCCGCATCACTTCGTCATGGCCTTCAAGGCCAAGAACCAGAGGGGCCTCAACGTACTGAAGACCAAACGCTGCTGAGATCAACTACATACTGCCTGAGTCCCCCCCTGAAGACCAAACGCTGCTGAGATCAACTACATACTGCCTGAGTCCCCCCCCCCCCCCCCCCCCCATGCCCTGCCCACAAGGGTGTGGCTGTTCTCATTAGTCTCCGCCCAACATGCCCTGGCTTGGCCCCCAATCACCTCTCATCCGTCACCACAGGACTAGTCTACAAAGCTCAGGCTGTGATTGGCTATTTGTTTCCTAAGTTCGTTCTTTTTTTTCCGTTTCAAAAAAAATGTTTTCTCACGTTTCAAGCCCACTGAACACACCCAGATGTCACGATGAGTATTAGCTTGGATCAAACATCAGACAGGAAGGAGTTTGGTTACAGGAAGTACATTATTGAGGTCTGGGTGTTGTAGTTTTATGGACAGTGTTTACCAACTGCTCTTTATTTCATATGTTCACATTGGATGGACAAGATACGGGAGGTATTTTATGTGGTGTCGATAAATGCAATAGCTTAATATATAGTATTCCCTTTTAAATGATTTGGTGTCATGCTGGTGTTCTGTTTAGTACTGTCACTTATTAGCCAAAGCTTTTATGATGAATGGATCCAACATAGCACTCCATCTCATTATGTCAGCTTGGTTTTGTCGCCTTACATTCAAATGTAATGTTTGTAATAAAAAGTGGAGATGTGAACCTAAAAAAAAAAAATCCCCACCCCAAAACTATATTTTGGTATTTGTTTCATTAGTCCATTGTTGTCCCAAAATATAGTCCCAAAATGTTTTGCATGTCAACAATCAAGTTCTCAAGATATATAACTTTCAAAATACCAATGATGCATTTTGCCAAAATATAGTTTTTGGGTGGAGTTTTCCTTAATCAATATAAAGTATTTTCATATGAAACAATTACTAAATGTTATTTATATTTTACTGTTTTCATCTGACCAAATAAAAAATAAAGTTTATTGTAACGAGGTGATTCTTCATATGGAGTGTCATCGTACATTAATTTACAGACCAGTTGTAACTTGTCATTTGTCATTGTATATATGAACTTAGTGTGGTCCTCTGTAGCTCAGCTAGTAGAGCACGGGGCCTGTAACGCCAGGGTAGTGGGTTCGATCCCCGGGACCACCCATGCACAAAAATTTATGCACACATGACTGTAAGTCGCTTTGGATAAAAGCGTCTGCTAAATGGCATATTATTATTATACACAAAAATGTATGCACGCATGACTGTAAGTCGCTTTGGATAAAAGCGTCTGCTAAATGGCATATTATATTATTATAAGGTAAATAAGCGTTATATCTGGCCTACTTAGAGTAAGTGGTAACTTTGTCAAGGTGTGGAGGCAGCTGTTATAGGGCTGAATGCTCCATTGAGCACTGGGAATGGTCAGGTGTGTGTGTGTGTGTGTGTGTGTGTGTGTGTGTGTGTGTGTGTGTGTGTGTTGACCAGGGATGTGCTGGCGCTGAACAGTGAGTAACACTCTCAGATGTCACTATTAAAACCAACTGGCTTCTCCTCGTGCCAGCTCTCTGAAAAAATAATCTTTCTGTTTCAAGTATTTTTCCAAGCGTGTGATGCAACTCAACCATTAGTCTCTAATCATTTCTCACTGCCTGGATAAAAAAGCAGAGGTGGGGCCAAGTCACTATTATTCGAGTCACAAGCAGGTCTCAAGCCACACGGTCCAAGTCTCAAGTCGAGTCCCAAGTAGAACGGGTCGAGTCTCGAGTCAAGTCCAAGTCGTGCGTTCTAAGAGCAAGTCAAGTCAAGTATATATATATATATATATTTTTTTTTTTTATCTATACAGGCAATGACTTGTTCAACTACAATTATTTTTCTATTTATTGAGGCTACCAGACATCCCTTTCATTATATTGCCTACAACACATTTTGATTATGTAGGCTAATAATACATTTTAACAACAAATTCCAAATGCAAGCTTCATAAGTAAATTATCAATTTCAAGCCATTTTTACATACCAAAAGACCAGTATGCTAGTAATTGTTGCTTGATGCCCCATTGCTGGTGAGCTTTCAAAGTAAACGGTTCATATTCTTGACGACCAAACTGCATATTAGTTTATTGGACGTTTGCGCTGCACCCGTTTCTACAGATGTAAAGCAAATCAGCAATCTGTTCGCTAGCTCAGCAGTTTTCAAACTTTTTGACACGCGACCCACAAAAAAGTAGGTGTTCAAAGCTTTTGCGACAGGGCGAACACGCAAGCACAATCGCTGCACAAATGTAGCATGTCATTACAGCCATAAACGGTGACGCATTTTCAAAAAGCAAGATACAGAAATAAACTGCGTTTTTACACCTGCATTTTGAGGTGAAAGTCATTCGTGTTAGCGGTCAATATCAACTACGGATATCATGTCACATTGTCACTTCTCTGCCAGAACAAGCAGGATCACATGGCCTACCTGTATGCAGCGGAGGTATGCATGATCTGTCTGTAGCCTTTTTCTTCCTCACAAATATCCAAATTCATTAGCCAGAATATGTTACATAAGTATTAAAGGTAGTGCAATGTTACAGCTATCTTTAAGACATATAGCCAGTATCACCACTGAGGTAGATAATTATAATCCACCCAAATAGGCCTATCTGAAATATGAAAATGATCAATTGAATCACCAGGTAGGTAGCCTATTGTTGTGGCAAAGATTTGTCCATAGCAGATTGCTGAATAGTACCTTATACGTATGTACTTTATACGGTACATTATACATACTTTATACGGTACTTTATACGTAGGCCAGGAAAAAACGGATACAATTAAACAAAAATCTGGTCACTAACATGCTGACCACACCGTCCACGTTTAGCGTGCGAGCGTTGCAAAAATAAAACTACTCAATAATTTCACCCAAACTGCCTGCGTGCGTCAACGAACGTCTGCGTAGCCAGGCGCTAAAATAGAACTTGGTTCTATTTTTGAGCTTGATGCACTGCAAGTCCCGCCTCTCCCATCTCCTCATTGGTTTCTAGGAGTATATACCCACGTGAGTGATTGAAAGCTGAACTGAGGTCCACACTTCAGTCCAGTTGGTGGTGGTAATGCACCTTAACGTTGGTTACCAACCGCCATATAAAGTCCACAGAAGTAGAAGAAGAAGAAGGAGAGATTACTAGAAACTAACTAGCTTTACCCTTTTATTTTTGGATTAATTGTCAGAGTAGAGAACACATGATTTTGTGTGACTCAAAATGGGTCAAAATTCTACAAAGATCCAGAAAAAAAGGAAATTTTGCATTTCAGGTAAAATAACAACCCAATGTTTATATCCCAGGACAAATTAGCTAGCAACAGCAAGCTAGCGTAAATGTCCATGAATGTTTCATGTGTTTTCGACCTGTCCCCAAATTAATATAGTTGGTTCAGAGTTCATTTTGATATTTCAACCAGCGTGCCCTGGATTGTGTCTGGTGTGAATTTACAAAATCAGGATGCGCGCGATGGTGCACGCGCGTGCCCGGTATAGAGAGTATGTAATGTGGATATGTGCGCCCCCTTTGTGCACAAAAGCTGATGACTGGTCATTGGTCAACAGTCAAGATGTGCAACCTTTTGGCTCTGAAGCACAGATTAGATGTTTTTGAAACAAGAATTTGGTGCAATGCCGTAGACCGATGTTAGTGACCAGATCAAATAAGCAAAGGTATAAATATCCAATAGAAATGGTAGGCTATATGTATTAAAATATGTATGAAAATATATATTTTTCCCTTTCAGTTTCACATTCGCAACCACCCAAAACCTTCTCATTGCGCAAACTCACCCGACCTGTGTTGATTGGTCCAATCAGAGGGCAGAGTGTGCGTTTCAATAGCCAATCTGTTTTTTTTTGCAAGTGCGATACTGTCTCTGGCTGCATGGAGAGTAATCCAATGAGACTATGCCACAAAAATGCGTGACAAAAACGTTACAAAACCTGGCCAGATCATTTCAAGTCACCGGTCTCAAGTCAAAGTCGAGTCCCGAGACTTGAGGCTCTAAGTCAAGTCTCAAGTTATTTCATTTTCAATCGAGTCACAAGTCATCAGATTTGTGACGAGTCAGACTCAAGTCCTAGTCATGTGACTCGAGTCCACACCTCTGCAAAGTCACATCAATCAATAGTATTTTGTTGAGAATAACGACATTTTTATAAAACAAGTAGGATGCCTGAATATTATTACATATATTATTACATATATTATTACATTAGGGGGCTGAATCTGGAGACTTTGGTGCAGAATATACAGTATATATTTCCAGATGAGCTGCTGGTGTAAATGTCTCTCTGTGACTGGACACAAAGTGGTTTCTGAGCATGCTAGGGTCAGGGGTACGACCCCCTGCGTGAAGAAGCTGAGAGGGACGGTTGGGGTTGTGGTTTGGGGTTGAGAACAGTCTTAGCTGGTTGGTTGAGGTTGGGTTGGAGGGGTTGGACTCAGGGGTGGTTCAGGTTGGGGTTGAGACCAGATCAGTCCTAGCTCCGTGGGTAGAACATGGTGTACTTGGAGGTTCTGAAGCCTAGCAGGTCTCTCATCTCGTTGCGGAACTTGGAGAGGTCCTGCCGCAGGTGGTTGAGGTTCTCCACGGTGGCCTGGTCGGTGCTCTGCATCTTCTGCCTGGTGGACGTCAGGTAGCGATGGACCAGATAACATATGATCTTCTGGTAGTTCTCATTACGCTTCTGCTTCAGGTTCCTCCACTTCTGGATGGGTGGGACAACAACAACATGGGAGGTTAGGGTTTGAGACTGAACACAGTGTCTACTTATCTGGATATCATGGAAGGATAAGATTGTAAAAAAAGGCTTTATTTGAAGTATACAGAGGTATCACTTCTTGATTGAATAGTGTCACGTCTCTCTTACCTTGAGGCTGTGCTGTCTCTTGACCTTCCCCGTGGAGGTGTGGGAGCAGATCCATTTACTCATACTGGTCAGCAGGTAACACACTGTCTTGGGGGAGGGCAGGATGTTGAAGGGGGGCGGTAGGGTGCACTTTTCGTCAAAGTAGCTTAGCCACAGCTTGGCGCAGGCAAACTTCCATTCCTTATCCTCGTGGTTCTAGGGGATTTAGAGGGAAATGGGAGATTTAGGAATTCAACCAGAGTATGTGAGTGGAGTTGAGCAGTCGGAAATCTCATGGAGATCCGGCGTCCACCTTGATTTTGCACCTGTGTGTTTTATCAGTTTCTTTCTGAAAATATTTTGCAAACTCCATGACAGTAGCTAAAGCAAGGGGCTATAGCAGCACACAAGACTACAAATGCATGCTGGGCCGGGCACGCCCTGAGCTCGTGAAGTGAACGCTACTGGAGCTGGTGAGAAGGCCGACGCTCCAGCCTTTGGGAAACTCGCTACACGCGCCAGTCAAATTTGGCACGCTCCACTCCTCGCTCGGCTCCAGCTCCACTCCGCTCACATACTCTGTAATCGACTCACTTTAATAATTCCCTTACCGAAAAAACAGGCTTCTGGCAAACAGTTGTTTGCCCAATTTATCACAAATTTACGGCAAGCTCATATTTTCACATGCAAGTTCGTTATTTGGCAAACTGTTGCAGTAAATTTGAGGTAACTTCTGAACTTCTGGCAAACAATTCTGGGAAACTTGTAGCAAACGTTCTATTGTTTGCTGAACATTTACTGCAAACTCAATATGAATATGCAAATTAGATCAGGTTTTTGGTTACTACGTAAACCAAATCACATATAACTTACTTCTCAGAGAAAAAACTAAACATACTAAATGTAGTAAATATACTAAACGTATTAAATGTCTTTAACAGATAAAAAATACATCCAATAGAACTTGTAATCATCAGAATGCTAATGAAGAAAAGAGCAAAGCCTGATATTTCCCAAATAAATTGTTTATTTGATAGTTTTGTGTAGCTACAACATTTGCATGATAGAAATGTGAACACTGTGGGGAAGTTCACCGTAGGTTGTTTAAAAAGACAACTACAGAATTATTTACATGAGCCAAATGATAACTGAGCAATACATTTCAACCAATGGCAGTTTAAAGGATACAGTAATTAACAAAATTGTAATAATTAAAATTAAATTAAAATTAAAATTAATAAATTAAAATTAAATTAAAATTAAAATTAATAAATTAAAACAAAACCTAAATAAAACCCATTTCAGAACTGTTGCCTTTTTGAGTGAACTTTGGAGATGGATATATTGCTGGGTTAAAACAACCCAGTGTGTTGGGTTGTGACATACAGTGAGGGAAAAAAGTATTTGATCCCCTGCTGATTTTGTATGTTTGCCCACTGACAAAGACATGATCAGTCTATAATTGTAATGGTAGGTTTATTTGTACAGTGAGAGACAGAATAACAACAAAGAAATCCAGAAAAACGCATGTCAAAAATGTTATAAATTGATTTGCATTTTAATGAGGGAAATAAGTATTTGACCCCTCTGCAAAACATGACTTAGTACTTGGTGGCAAAACCCTTGTTGGCAATCACAGAGGTCAGACGTTTCTTGTAGTTGGCCACCAGGTTCGCACACATCTCAGGAGGGATTTTGTCCCACTCCTCTTTGCAGATCTTCTCCAAGTCATTAAGGTTTCGAGGCTGACGTTTGGCAACTCGAACCTTCAGCTCCCTCCACAGATTTTCTATGGGATTAAGGTCTGGAGACTGGCTAGGCCACTCCAGGACCTTAATGTGCTTCTTCTTGAGCCACTCCTTTGTTGCCTTGGCCGTGTGTTTTGGGTCATTGTCATGCTGGAATATCCATCCACGACCCATTTTCAATGCCCTGGCTGAGGGAAGGAGGTTCTCACCCAAGATTTGACGGTGCATGGCCCTGTCCATCGTCCCTTTGATGCGGTGAAGTTGTCTTGTCCCCTTAGCAGAAAAACACCCCCAAAGCATAATGTTTCCACCTCCATGTTTGATGGTGGGGATGGTGTTCTTGGGGTCTTAGGCAGCATTCCTCCTCCTCCAAACACGGTGAGTTGAGTTGATGCCAAAGAGCTCGATTTTGGTCTCATCTGACCACAACACTTTCACCCAGTTCTCCTCTGAATCATTCAGATGTTCATTGGCAAACTTCAGACGGCCCTGTATATGTGCTTTCTTGAGCAGGGGGACCTTGCGGGCGCTGCAGGATTTCAGTCTTTCACGGTGTAGTGTGTTACCAATTGTTTTCTTGGTGACTAGGGTCCCAGCTACCTTGAGATCATTGACAAGATCCTCCCGTGTAGTTCTGGGCTGATTTCTCACCGTTCTCATGATCATTGCAACTCCATGAGGTGAGATCTTGCATGGAGCCCAAGGCCGAGGGAGATTGACAGTTATTTTGTGTTTCTTCCATTTGCGAATAATCGCATCAACTGTTGTCACCTTCTCACCAAGCTGCTTGGCGATGGTCTTGTAGCCCATTCCAGCCTTGTGTAGGTCTACAATCTTGTCCCTGACATCCTTGGAGAGCTCTTTGGTCTTTGCCATGGTGGAGAGTTTGGAATCTGATTGATTAATAATAATAATATGCCATTTAGCAGACGCTTTTATCCAAAGCGACTTACAGTCATGCGTGCATATTTTTTTTTTAAACGTATGGGTGGTCCCGGGGATCGAACCCACTACCTTGGCGTTACAAGCACCGTGCTCTACCAGCTGAGCTACAGAGGACTGGGGATTGCTTCTGTGGACAGGTGTCTTTTATATAGATTACAAACTGAGATTAGGAGCACTCCCTTTAAGAGTGTGCTCCTAATCTCAGCTCGTTACCTTTATAAAAGACACCTGGGAGCCAGAAATCTTTCTGATTGAGAGGGGGTCAAATACTTATTTCCCTCATTAAAATGAAAATCAATTTATAAAATTTTTGACATGCGTTTTTCTGGATGTTTTTGTTGTTATTCTGTCTCTCACTGTTCAAATAAACCTACCATTAAAATTATAGATTGATCATTTCTTTGTCAGTGGGCAAACGTACAAAATCAGCAGGGGATCAAATACTTTTTTCCCCTCACTGTAAACTCAGCACATTGGGTTGGGGGATTGACCCAGCAGAAGGAGTAATTTTTAATGTAATCCTTGGGTTATTTTCAGTGTAATTCTAATTTCAATTTAGCTTATATTTTAGCCTTCTCTACCATCCCAACCCCTCCTTTTCCTACACACCATCAAGATACAATGTTGAATTTGTATTACCTGCATTTCAGAACATGCATCACAGCATGTCAGAGAATTGTCCACAATGTCCAATAATATATACAAAATGTAAACAGCAAATTGAAACAAAGCCCTATTGTCTAAGTATGTGTTATTTAATGAGATTTCATAAGATAGGCTTGATTATTAAAATCTATTTATATTATTTCATGAACCAAACAGTCCAAACATCAGACTAAAGCCTCAGTTGAACTTGATGTGGACACTCAGTTTGCAATCTGAGAAAAACAAAGTCTGTCTTAAGTGGTGTTTAACACAGATCTGTCTGTCCGATAGTGCCAGAGCTAATCAATAGATTAGCACATTCACTGACACACCTCAGCTATCTTAGGTGACAGCACACACACATCATGCTGTCTTGCCATACAATAACGGTCTACATTTGGATCGAGTCAAAACATTGCTACACAGAGAACAAGTGTAAGATATTATGTTTGTCGCTCTGGATAAGAGTGTCTGCTAAATGACTAAAATGTACTTTTTTTTTCTTTTTTTTGTCATTTAGCAGACGCTCTTATCCAGAGCGACTTGCAGGAGCAATTAGGGTTAAGTTTCCTTAATAACTGTATTTCATTCATAAAGCACTTTTCACATCCCCCAAAATGTAACATTTGTAATTTAAACTAAATTGTGATAGAATGAAAGCGTACCAGAATGCACTTCAGCCCAGCTTGACCAAAACATGTCTTTATATATTAACTATACCAACATAGATTTATGTGCAACAGTAGTTGAACTAAAGGAAAACAAGCACATAGCGTACAGTAGGCAATAAGCCGGCACAAAAACAAACAATTTAACAGAGCTATAAATAGTGCCTTAAGAGCAACAAAGCAAGTATGGTCAAATGAAGGCCAGACTATCTATGGTAGCTGTGCATGTAATGTACTGTATCTTGTCCCAAGTGGCTGCATGGTTCTAAGAGGCTCTGGTGAAGTTAAGTCTTTCAAGTTTCCATTAAGGTTGTACTATTGGTTATCGATGACAACGTGGAAAACGTAGATGCTGTTTTACACACGGGTCAAAGCTCTGGAATCAAGAGGCCAGGTTCCACTCATTCAGCGTATCCTTTACAAAGCTCTCCATTGGCCTAGACCTCTGCATTTAAGTACAGAGATAAATACATTTTAGAAACATAGCTAGCTAGCTATACTAACTTGGCTACATCACATTTTAAAGTAAACTAACGTTAGCTAGCTAACAGAATTTGCATCCATCTTCCTCAAATTCACAAGTCCAACTAAAGCTGCCACTGTCAGAAATCATTGGAAACCACGGCAGTAACGCTAGCTAACTCCTTCAATCACCATGCAAGTATGAGATAATCCTGACAAATAGCTTGGTTAAATTTACTCAGATGGAGAATAAGTAAAATCTAGCTATGGTAACTTAGCTAGCCAGCTAACTTAGCTAATGTTAGCTAACGAGTGAAACAGTGTCCGAGACAGTCCAGAAGAAGTGTCAGACTTAGCTAGCTAAGGTAGCTAGCTAGCTAACTTTAGCTAGTTACAGTTACAGACACTGACATAGTTAGCTAACTAGCTAGCCAAACGTTGACAAAAAACGTACATTTAGCTATATTCCGCAACAATATTTCAGTAAATTAGCATCGCGAGCAAGGTCGCGAGGCTAACTAACGTTACCACAGCCAGAAATATTATCACAGAAAATGGCTAGCTAGCTAACGCTCAAGCTAACGTTAGCTAGCTATCTAGTTATGATAGGACAACCTATTTAACCAGAATGACCATCAAATACATAATTCGTAACTTTTGTTACTTACAGTTTTCACGGTTTTCAGTCAGCCAAAACACCCTTAGTTTGTCGAAATAACGTTAGCCGTTTTCCACTCAGTCACATTAGAACTAGAAGACTTGCAAGATGCCACGTCTTGACACTTGCTCACGTTCTGGTGGACTTCACGTGCTGGCGGCGGGAGAATTAACCCACTGGCTGGGTCATATATCCATAACCCAACCTTAATAACGCAGCACCAACAACCCAACCTTGCTGTTTTTACAGAAAATAACCCAACTATTGACCCAATGCCTGCAACCCAGCAATTGGGTCATCCAAACAACCCAGCATTTTTTTTAGTGTAACTTACATCTCAAAGCCATGGAAGCAAGAAGCCTTGACTTGTCTGGGCCACACATATTTATTTGTCCTCAATTTGATTGAAGGCCTCAATCTGTATTTTTGAAAAATTAAGATAGCTAACGTTAGCTAGCTAAGCACTAGCCAGTCAGTGGCGCTGACAGGTTGAAACTGGTATCAATAAAATGTGTTTCACTCTATCCCATAAAACATGACATTGCTAACTAGGCATAATTTAGCTAATAAAATGTTAAAGTTTATTAGGAAGTTTAATTAATAAGTTAGACATTCAACGGACAACTTTTGGTAGCTAGCTAGCTAGCTAGCTTGGTTTACATTTTCCAACAGATTTTTCGAATCCCCCTGATTGGTCATCAACGGTTACTGGTCTTGGAACTCATATGTTCACCAGAAAATGGCTTCTGGTAAAGTGTTTGCCACTAGTGGCAATAATGTTGTTGCCACAGGTTTACCACAGATTCAAATAGAATCTTGAGAGAAAAAACCCTCTGGCGAACTGTTTACCACTAGTGCCAATAAATATTATTGTTGCCAAAGCTTTGCCACAGATTCACCACTAGTGGCAAACATTTGCTAACTTCTGGCAACATTTTGTGGCACACTATTTAGTTTGCAGCAAATATGCCACAAACCTGTAGGAAGTTTGCGGCAACAAATTCATTTTTTTGTCCCAGAGAAATGTGAATACATCACTACCATGTTAGTCTGGTGTTCTTGGAGTGGATTTGTCTTTTGCATTCAGAAGGATGATTTTTGAGTTGATGATTGGTAAGTGTAATTTATTAAGCATTAAAGTTAAGTAATTGAGGTGAATTATACAGCTGATCTTTACCCCTACTCCAAACACTAAACTCCAAACACTATAAATAAAGTACTCCCAATTAACACTTAGATACAGTGTTATAGCTAGACTAACCAAGTCCAATTGTTTTTGTTGTTGTTGTAACTTCATTGACAATGTCATCGTACGTAGTCACTTCATGCCGAGTTACCGAAAAGCACTTTGTGACAACTGCTGATGTAAAAAGGGCTTGATAAATACATTTGATTGACTGATTGATTAAATAATTGATTGACTGATAGATTGATTGATTGACTTACAGCGATCTGCCTGAAGCTCTTGTGTAGCATGGCAACCAGCAGCTTGGTGAGAACGATGACCACCACGATGTTGTAGGTGCCCACGATGAGGGCTCCCACAAACGACCTCAGCTCCTCCGTGTAGTTGATGCGGGTCACGAAGAGAGCCACGTGGGCCAGAGAGAAGATGTACCAGAACAGGGCGTAGCACGTCCCCATGAACCTGTCAACAGGGGAGGTCAGGGATTAGACGTCAGAAAAGGGCGTAACAGGTACAGTACCCATGAATCTGTCAAAAGGGAGGTCAGGGATTAGATGTCAGAAAAGGGCGTAACAGGTACAGTACCCATGAACCTGTCAACAGGGAGGTCAGGGATTAGACGTCACCCATGAACCTGTCAACAGGGGAGGTCAGGGATTAGACGTCAGAAAAAGGGCGTAACAGGTACCCATGAACATGTCAACAGGGGAGGTCAGGGATTAGACGTCAGAAAAAGGGCGTAACAGGTACAGTACCCATGAACATGTCAAAAGGGAGGTCAGGGATTAGACGTCAGAAAAAGGGCGTAACAGGTACCCATGAACCTGTCAACAGGGGAGGTCAGGGATTAGACGTCAGAAAAGGGCGTAACAGGTACAGTACCCATGAACATGTCAACAGGGAGGTCAGGGATTAGACGTCAGAAAAGGGCGTAACAGGTACAGTACCCATGAACATGTCAAAAGGGAGGTCAGGGATTAGATGTCAGAAAAGGGCGTAACAGGTACCCATGAACATGTCAACAGGGAGGTTGTAGCTTAGAATTACAGTACATATAGCACACTGAATTATAGGATCTCTATGGGTCAGAGGTACCCATCATTGGTTAACTGTCAGAACAGAGCTTAACAGGTAACCATGACCCTTTCAACGGGGGGGGGGGGGGGGGGGGGTCGAGAGAGAGAGAGAGAGAGAGAGAGAGAGAGAGAGAGAGAAAGGGGGAGAGAGAGAGAGACAGAGAGAGACAGAGAGAAAGGGAGAGAGAGAGAAAGGGAGAGAAAGGGGGAGAGAGAGAGCGAGAGAGAGAGCGAGAGAGAGAGAGAGAGAGAGAGACAGAGAGAGAGAGAGAGAGAGAGAGAGAGGGAGAGAGAGATAAGGTAGACTGGACGTACGTGTGGAAGGCATCGTTGCTCTGCTGCTTACAGAAGATGCCCTCGCAGTCCTTGGCGGGGCTCTTGGCCGGGTCCTTCTGGTCCTTCCCATAGAGCTGCGTCAGGCCGATGGTGAAGGAGATCAGCACCAGCAGGAACAGACCCAGGAACTTCCCAAATTCCTGCAGCATCTGGCCCATGGAGATCTGGGAACACAAAAGCACTCTGTCATGAGCTACATCCCCATGGTTTGGGATTGGGCAATGGTAACATTCCAAGCTTGAGAAATGTTCTGCTGGGAATATGATAAGAAGACCTGTACTATAGATGCTTCAGTCATGGCTGTGTTCAGTAGCCATAAACAGGAGAAACAGAGTGAAACCGGGAGGTAACTACCATCTGAACTTTTATAATAAGAAACACATTTTCGTTTTCTGTTTCAAAACATTTTGCTATGGTGTGCCCTAATGAACATGATTCTGGTCCAAACCAAACTAGTTAACAAACAACCACCCACCCAGGTGCAAGCAAGTCCAGGGGTGGTATGTACAGTTGAAGTCGGAAGTTTACATACACTTAGGTTGGAGTCATTAAAACTCTTTTTTCAACCACTCCACAAAATTCTTGTTAACAAACTATAGTTTTGGCAAGTCAGTTAGGACATCTACTTTGTGCATGACACAAGTAATTTTTCCAACAATTTTTTACAGACAGATTATTTCACTTATAATTCACTATATCACAATTCCAGTGGGTCAGAAGTTTACATACACTAAGTTGACTGTGCCTTTAAACAGCTTGGAAAATTCCAGAAAATGATGTCATGGCTTTAGAAGCTTCTGATAGGCTAATTGACATCATTTGAGTCAATTGGAGGTGTACCTGTGGATGTATTTCAAGGCCTACCTTCAAACTCAGTGCCTCTTTGCTTGACATCATGGGAAAATCAAAAGAAATCAGCCAAGACCTCAGAAAAAATATTGTAGACCTCCACAAGTCTAGTTCATCCTTGGGAGCAATTTCCAAACGCCTGAAGGTACCACGTTCATCTGTACAAACAATAGTACGCAAGTATAAACACCATGGGACCACGCAGCCGTCATACCGTTCAGGAAGGAGACGCATTCTGTCTCCTAGAGATGAACGAACTTTGGTGCGAAAAGTGCAAATCAATCCCAGAACAACAGCAAAGGACCTTGTGAAGATGCTGGAGGAAACAGGTACAAAAGTATCTATATCCACAGAAAAGCGAGTCCTATATCGACATAACCTGAAAGGCCGCTCAGCAAGGAAGAAGCCACTGCTCCAAAACCGCCATAAAAAAGCTAGTCTACGGTTTGCAACTGCACATGGGGACAAAGATCGTACTTTTGTCCTCTGGTCTGATGAAACAAAAATAGAACTGTTTGGCCATAATGACCATTGTTATGTTTGGAGGAAAAATGGGGTTACTTGCAAGCCAAAGAACACCATCCCAACCGTGAAGCATGGGGGTGGCAGCATCATGCTGTGGGGGTGCTTTGCTGCAGGAGGGAATGGTGCACTTCACAAAATAGATGGCATCATGAGGAAGGGAATTTATGTGGATATATTGAAGCAACATCTCAAGACATCAGTCAGGAAGTTAAAGCTTGGTCGCAAATGGATCTTCCAAATGGACAATGACCCCAAGCATACTTCCAAAGTTGTGGCAAAATGGCTTAAGGACAACAAAATCAAGGTATTGGAGTGGCCATCCCAAAGCCCTGACCTCAATCCTATAGAAAATGTGTGGGCAGAACTGAAAAAGCGTGTGCGAGCAAGGAGGCCTACAAACCTGACTCAGTTACACCAGCTCTGTCAGGAGGAATGGGCCAAAATTCACCCAACTTATTGTGGGAAGCTTGTGGAAGGTTAACCGAAACGTTTGACCCAAGTTAAACAATTGAAAGGCAATGCTACCAAATACTAATTAAGTGTATGTAAACATCGTGGTCCTCTGTAGCTCAGCTGGTAGAGCACGGCGCTTGTAACGCCAAGGTAGTGGGTTCGATCCCCGGGACCACCCATACACAAAAAAAAATGTGTGCACGCATGACTGTAAGTTGCTTTGGATAAAAGCGTCTGCTAAATGGCATATTATTATTATCTGACCCACTGGGAATGTGATGAAAGAAATAAAAGCTTAAATAAATCATTTTCTCTACTATTATTCTGACATTTCACATTCTTAAAATAATGTGGTGATCCTAACGGGGGCAACGGATGACGGTCAGGGATGGTCTTGCAATTCAGCTCCCTGAAGTCGACACATAACCGCAGGCTGCTGTCCTTCTTGCACACACAGACCACCGGTGTTTTGTGGGGAAAAATTCATTCTGATTGGCTGGGCCTGGCTCCCAAGTGGGTGGGCCTGGCTGCCAAGTGGGTGTGTCTATGCCCTCCAAGGCCCACCCATGGCTGCACCCTTGCCTAATGAATTTATTTAAATTGACTGATTTCCTTATATGAACTGTAACTCAGTAAAATCTTTGACATTGTTGCATGTTGCGTTTATATTTTTGTTCAGTATACAGTAATTTACTCCACAATACTAACCTAATTGACAGAGTGAAAATAAGGAAGCCTGTACTGAAAACAAATATTCCAAAACATGCATCCTGTTTGCAACAAGGCACTACAGTAATACTGCAAAAAATGTGGCAAAGCAATTAACTTTTTGTCCTGAATACAAAGTGTTTTCAATACAACACATTACTGAGTACCACCCTCCATATTTTCAAGTATGGTGTTGGCTGCATCATGTTATGGGTATGCTTGACACTGGTAAACAATGGGGAGTTTTTCAGGAAAAAAAAAAAACGGGACTATATCCTTGAAAATGGTTGTCTAGCAATGATCAACAACCAATTTGACAGAGCTTGAAGAATTTTGTACAATCCAGGTGTGTAAAGCTCTAAGAGACTTACCCAGAAAGACTCACAGCTGTGATCGCTGCCAAAGGTGATTCTAATGTATTGACTCAGGGGTGTGAATACTTATGTAAATGAGATATTTCTGTATTTCATTCTCAATACATTTAAAAACATTTCTAAAAACATGTTTTCACTATGTCATTATGGGATTTTGTGTGTGGATGGGTTAGAATTTTAAAAATATTTAATACATTTTGAATTCAGGCTGTAACACGACAAAATGTGGAATAAGTGAAGGGTATGAATACTTTCTGAAGGCACTGTATCTATAGAAAACTCTATCTATCTATCTTTAGGAAACGTTATCTATCTTTAGGGAACTATCGACAGTTGAAGTCAGAAGTTTACATACACCTTAGCCAAATACATTTAAACTCAGTTTTTCACAATTCCTGACATTTAATCCTAGTAAAAATTCCCTGTCTTAGGTCAGTTAGGATCACCACATTATTTCAAAAATGTGAAATGTCAGAATAATAGTAGAGAAAATGATTTATTTCAGCTTTTATTTATTTCATCACATTCCCAGTGGGTCAGATGTTTACATACACTTAATTAGTATTTGGTAGCATTGCCTTTAAATTGTTTAACTTGGGTCAAACGTTTCGGGTAGCCTTCCACAAGCTTCCCACAATAAGTTGGGTGAATTTTGGCCCATTCCTCCTGACAGAGCTGGTGTAACTGAGTCAGGTTTGTAGGCCTCCTTGCTCGCACACGCTTTTTCAGTTCTGCCCACACATTTTCTATAGGATTGAGGTCAGGGCTTTTTAAAATATTTCTATTTATTTAACCTTTATTTAACCAGGTAAGCCAGTTGAGAACAAGTTCTCATTTACAACTGCGACCTGGCCAAGATAAAGCAAAGCAGTGCGATAAAAAACAACACAGAGTTACATATAGGGTAAAACAAAAGTCAAAAATACAACAGAAAATATATATACAGTGTGTGCAAATGTAGCAAGTTATGGAGGTAAGGCAATAAATACGTCATACTGGAGTGATATATGTGCAGAAGATGATGTGCAAATAGAGATATTGGGGTGCAAATGAGCAAAATATATAACAATGTAAATAACAATATGGGGATGAGGTAGTTGGGTGGGCTAATTTCAGATGGGCTGTGTACAGGTGCAGTGATCGCTAAGCTGCTCTGACAACTGATGCTTAAAGTTAGTGAGGGAGATAAGAGTCTCCAGCTTCAGAGATTTACTTTTAAAGTGAGTTAGTGCTACAGGACACGTTACGGACGCAGGCAATAAGGCAGTGATCGCTGAGATCCTGGTTGAAGACAGCGGAGGTGTATTTAGAGGGTAAGTTAGTCAGGATGATATCTATGAGGGTGCCTGTCACACCCTGGCTCTGGGACTCTATATGTTGAGCCAGGGTGTGTTCATTCTATGTGTTGTATTTCGATGTTGGGAGTTCTAGTTTGTTTATTTCTATGTTGGCCTGAGTGACTCCCAATCAGAGGCAACGAGTGTCAGCTGTGGCTGGTTGTCTCTGATTGGGAGCCATATTTAACTGTCTGTTTTCCCTTAGTGTTTGTGGGATCTTGTTCCAGTAGGTTGTGTTTAGACTTAGGACGTCACGGTATCGTTTGTTGTTTTGTTATTCGTGTGTGCACTTTAATTAAATAAAGTATGTTCGCTCAACACGCTGCGCCTTGGTCTACTCCATACGACGATCGTGACAGAAGATCCCACCATACCAGGACCAAGCAGCGTGTCCAGGAGCAGGCAGCCTGGACGTGGGAGCAGATTTTGGACGGGCAGGGGTCCTGGACCTGGGAGGAAATCCTGGCCGGGATGGATCGCCGGCCATGGAGTGAGACAGTAGAGGCGCGACGGAGAGAGGAGCAACGGCGTGATCAGTGTCGTCGTCGGACGGTCGAGAGGCAACCCCAAAAAATGTTTAGGGGGGGGCACAGGGCATGGACGACGGGGCTGACGGAGGCAGACAAGGGGCGTATTCAGAAGGCCACCAGGTTACGGGGGTCACTGGTAAAGGAAGGGAAGGAAGGTTTAGAGGCACGGCGAGAGGTACTGGGGTGTGTTACCAGTCCGGTCCGGCCCGTTCCAGATCCCGGTGTAGAGCCAGTGGTGTGTGTCCCCAGTACGGTCCGGCCTGTTCCTGCCCCTCGCACCAAGTGTACGGTGCGCGTCGCCAGCCCGGTCCGGCCTGTTCCTGCCTCTCGCACCAAGCCTACGGTGCGCGTCGCCAGCCCGGCCCGGCCTGTTCCTGCCACTCGCACC